AGCTGTAAAATCATCCCAAAATTAAACTAATCCTAACTAATTGACACTAAATTATGAATAGAAAAGAGTAAGAATTGCCTGCAAAAAGGGCATATATTTTTCTATTATCATTTATATCAACAAAGATAAGGGTAATTTGTTATCGTTTCCTTTAGCTTTATTCATTTTGTTTCTTGTGTTCCTTTGTTGTCATTGGTTTCTCATTCGTTTGTTCTCCAGAATAGTTGCTTTCAGCACCTCTTACTTGAAAAGCTAAATCATCATCAAAATAAATGATAATAACTTTATCATTCATTTCTTCCCCATTTTTCTCTTCCATTGGAGCTTCTTTGGTTCGTTTGCAAAGTGAAACGCCCAAACGGGGAGTAAAGAGGGAGGCCGCCAAGTGTTGATCTAACCAAGCCCTATCAACAAATTATTGTAACAAAGCCCTTTTCTTCTCCTTGAGCCTTGAAACATTTGAAACCAAGATTTGAACAAGATTGGCACTTGTAATTATAAGTTGAAGTCCTTCGAACATATCTCAAGTGGTCTAAAGCTGGACAACTGGAACAGTTCCCCAAATCATGATTTTCGAAAGCTCATCAAATCATGGTTTTCATAAATCGAAAAGTAGATTGAATAGAAGAGTATGGGTGAGGCTGAAAGGACGTATTCTATACAAACTGGTAGGGTTGTGCGTTCGAATATATTTGAATTCTAAAAATGAAGGGAAAGGGTAAATAGAGTATATATGTGTGTATATAATAGAAAGGGTAGATTAGTGAATATATAAACTCTAACCCTTAGGGTTTCTGTGTGTATATGTATTTATTGCAAGTGTGGCCTGCGTTGAATGTAGAATGAGTAGTATAGACGTCACTCTTTGTTGTATTATCATGGTATCAGGCTTCTTGAAGGCCCCCGTTTTTCTCAAACCCTACAACTATCACCGCATTTATGTTTGAGGTGTTCTTCTCGTCGCCTTTGCTTTAATGGCGACCGGTAACGATATTTCTTCCTCTGAGCCCTCTCTTTCCTCCACTGTCACCACCAGGACTGTCCATGTTGATCCTCCCTACCTTAAACCATTCATCCCTATGACTTGACATCCGGTGACAATCCAAGTTCAGCCATAACTCAAATCATTTTGAAGAACACCAACTACGACCAATGGTGTCAAGCTGTTCGTACCGCTCTTCGTGCCTGTAAGAAGTTCGAGTTTTTGGATGGCTCTATTCCCTAGCCGCTGGCTAATTCCACTAATTTGGATGATTGATGGACTAAAAATTCCCTCATCTCTCATGGTTGCGTAACTCTATCGATCCTGCTCTTTGATCGACCATTCCACATCGAGAAGTCTTCGCCTCGCTTTGGATCGATATTCGTGACCGTTTTAGTGTCTTCAACGGCCCTCGAATCCAACAAATCAAGACTGATCTTGCCAACTGCAAACAAAAGGGGCGTATGGCCTCTTATTATGGTAAATTTCAACAACCTTCGGAGGATCTTTCTGCATGTGAACCTCTCCAGACGTGTTCTTGTGGTTCGACTAAGGTTCACACCGAATCCGAGCACCGCCGTGAGAAGGAGAAGCTTCATCAACTTCTAACAGGGTTAGACAGTTCCATTTACGGTAGTGTTCGGTCTCATTTATTGGCTGAAGACCCACTTCCTTCCATCAATCAAGCACTCTTCTCATTCAAGAGGAGCGTCTTTGTTCAATTTCTCCTGCTCAAGAGGAGGAGCCTGTTGCCGATGCTTTTAATTTTGCTGTTCAGTCCTCTCCTCCGACGTCTTGAGTCTGAATTTCTGAAAAACCCGATGATCCAAAGAGATCTTTTGTTCAAACTGTCACAAACCGGACCATCTTGTTTCCAATTACTTTGACTTAATTGGATATCCGGAGTAATGAGGGTCAACTCCGGCAGGGGCCAGTAGAGCTTCTAGATGTCCTCCTGCTGGTCATGGATGGGGTAATCGTACTACACCTGGTTGTTTTTCTCCCAGTTCTAACAATGCCAATTTGGGTGGCGGCACTTGCAGTTTTTTTCTTGACCGTGATCCGTGTGCTAGTTCATTTCAAGTCAACTCGATCATGGTTCTTGGCACGAATTTCGCTAGTTACTAGTCTCTCCCTGGACCAATGGCAGCTCTTGTTTCTCTTCTTCACAAAACCAAGTCTGTTGAACCACTCTCCAGTGAGCATCTTTTTGATACATGGATCTATGACTGTGGCGCCACCCATCATATGATAGGTTTTATGCATTATTTATCAGATGTGTAGCATATTTCTCCTCGTCCGGTTCAGTTACCTGATGGTACTCTCACTTATGCTTCTCAGACGGACACTGTGCACTTAAATTCCTCTGTGAGTTTGCAAAATATTTTATTTTTTCCTAGTTTGTACCCTCTGTTGGAGAAATCTTGTTGTACTGTACATTTTACTAACAAATTCGGTGTTATTCAGGACCGTACTATGAGTACTATGATTGGAGCGGATGAGCAGTTGGGGAGTCTGTACTTCTTCCGAGCGATTTTGGTTGCAAATGCTACTCGCGCTGTGTCTACTGGTTCTTCTGAGTTATGGCATCGACGGTTGGGCCATCCCTCTTTGATGGTCCTCCAGTAGTAATAAAACATGTGACGTATGTCTTCGCGTCAAACATTCTTGAGATAGTTTCTCACTTACTAGTTATACACGTGAGGATTTATTTTTATTAATACATTGTGATTTATGGGGTCCATATTGTGTCCCCACTTTTTGTGGTGCTAGATATTTTTTTTTTAACTATTGTGGATGATTTTTCTCGCACTACTTGGATCTATCTATTAGCTGATAAGACCAATGTCTCTTCTCACTTGTGTAAATATTTTGCTATGGTTCATCGGCAATTTGAAAAGTTGGTTAAAACTGTGCTTAGTGACTCTGAATTTTTTTTTACGTCTGGTTATTTTTGTTAACTCGGGATTGTGCATGAAACTTCTTGTGTTGGCACTCCGCAACAAAACGGACGTGTTGAACGCAAGCATAGGCACATTCTCATTATGGGATGTGCTTTGCCCTTTCAAGCTAGTTGTGTGTCAACTCTGCAACAAAATGGACGTGTTGAACGCAAACATAGGCACATTCTCATTATGGGACATGTTTTGCCCTTTCAAGCTAGTTTGCCGGTTGAATTTTGGGGTCATTGTGTTTCTGTTGCTGTGCATAAGTCATGATGTCCACTACATGTAATTAATTAAGGCAAAAAAACCAATGGTAATTTCAATCCTCTATTCTTTTGATTTTCATGGAGAAATGAAAGGTGAATGACAAAATGTAGAAAGCCTATTAATTAGTTCTGTACATTGATACATTTTGATGCTGCTTTTGCCTATGCATTCGTTATAATTAAAAGGAAAAAGGATTCATAAAAGAAAATGTACAACGTCAAAAAATTCTAAATATTACTAGTATTATTATTGGCTCCCGATCTCCATCAGAAATTACCAAGTCATAAAAACAAAAGCAGTTATTCGTCATTACTATTATCATTTTCCAAATATTTAATTTTTTTATTAAGTCAAACGTGACAAAATATATTTTAGTAGATTATAACAAATTGAAGAAAAATTAAAGTACATGCACTCTAAAATTATTACCTGAAGGGGGGTAGAATTGCGATATGGTAAACTTCGTTGGGCAGTAGATGTATTTTTTTTCTCTCCCTTCTCTCCCTTCTCTCTGACATCTCTCTTCCTTCCATAGGCCCTACACAACCAAATAAACCATCTTTTGCTCAGATCTTGAGAAAGGCAGATCCAAAAACCATACAAAATCACTCTATCAAACATCAAAATCTAAGTCAACTTGAATTCAAGCAGAACCAACTATATACAAATGTGAGCCCACTTTTCTTCTTACCAAAGAAGAAGATGAACAATTTTCTGCCCCCTTCCGACTAGCCCTTATAGGAAAATTCACTAAAGGCCGTACGAAAATGGACTACTTATAGAGAGAATTTCAAATTACTGGTTTCAAATGAAGCTTCTCTCTTGGATCAATTGACTCCCGACATATCCTCATCTGCTTTGATTTGGAAGAAGACCTCCATCGTTGCTGGTTAAAAAGTCTATGGACATTTGATTCGTATCGTATGCAAGTTTTAAAATGGACCACAGATTTTTATTCAGCACAAGAAAGTTCCATTGTACCAGTTTGGATCTCCTTCGAGGGCCTTCCCATTCACCGGTTCAACAAGTCATACTTGTGGAAATTAGCAAGTATCATTGGCACCCCTCTTCAAATTGACATCCCAACACTAAACATGTCACGACCGTCTGTGGCACAAGTCTGTATAGAATTGGATCTTCTCAAGGAGCATCCTATTCGGATCAGGCTGGGAGTTGAAGGGGCAAGTTATTTTCAACCAATATTCTATGAGAACATGCCCCAATACTGTATTGATTGCAAGAAGATTGGACATGACCATAATTCTTGTCGACTTAATACAAGAGCATCATCATCACAAAAGTAAGATTCGATCCATTCGAAACAACAATCAAAAAATCAATCACACGGCAAACAATCAAATTCCAAAGCACTAAATATATTAGAGCTGAATTCTACACCTTCTAATGATGTGCAGATTCCGTCATCCGTTCCTGTCAGAGATGTGTTGATTCCGTCGTTGCCAACCAGTGCTGCTGCCGGTTCTAAGCCTGTGCAGAAGGAGACACAAATCATTGATGTGGGAGCTGACGAACCGCCTCCGATAGAAAAGGCTATCGCGCAACAAGCCAATGCTCACCAGAGAAACACCGAGGACGTGGTTTCTACTAAAGAGCCCCCAACTCCTGATGAAGCTGTTGAACACCAATACCTATCTGAAACCGCTGCTGATCTGCGAGCATCTCTTGATGATGCCGGCACTACTGTTATTTCTGTTACTGTTGCGCCGCTTGATCATCAAACTACCATTGCTGGCGCAACTTCTGATTAGCGAATTATCAATATCGCTGCTCCGGATGGTACACCGATGAACCATGGAGTGAATCCCATTTCTGCACCATCAATGGCTGCCCAAATGGAAGCAACGTCACTGCCGGCGATGGAAGGTCGGCAGGAGTCACCGGCGAGGAAGGAAGATCATCCAGCAAGTACGCAAATCCCTTGCGCGTCAGTTGCGGCTACGATTGTTGCTGAAATCGCAGCTGTGCAACTGAGTCGCATAGCATCAGCGGCTGACCCGGCGCATTCAAATTTGAATGAAATTAAGCTGCACTCAATCTCTCTAGACAACCCGGCGCTTTCAAATGTCGCGACATCAGCGGCCAAATCAGCAAAGCCAAAAGAGGGGAATCTTATCCCCACAACTCAGAATATCACCCTTTTAAATGAGGATAATACTAATTCCAGCTCTCCAATTTGCTCTCCAATTCCGCCTCCCTCTCCCTCAAAGTGGGGAAAAGTAAATTTGCAAAAATAACTACCGAAGGCAACGCACACAAATTGAACCCATCTACACCGGAATTTCCTCTTTCCTCTTCATCACAAATACCCGTCTGCATAGTGTTGTGCAAAATCATATTGATTTTAAAGCCCGAAATCCAGACTTCTCCAATACCGGATTGATCTTGCTGCTTTTGAAATAGAAAATCGCCAAACTCCTAAATGATACTTCAAAACTTTCAATTTCGGAATGGCAATGGCCACAACCGGCGAAGTCTCATTGTCAATGGAACAACATTTCTCTATAATCAAACTCTTCAAGCTTACACTCTGAATCTTAACGTACTCCTCTAAGGTGCACCTTCTCAGGAACAAATTCTCCAAAACCGGGCACATTCCTAGAGACTCGGACAATATTTCTGAACCCTTCTCAAGAGTGACTGAGTGAGCCACTCCAAGCAGACGGATTTAAGGCGGAGGAATTCGCGGTCGGAATACAGAGAAATCACAGGAATGTCGCAGGAGGACAGGTTCAAGTACTTGATGTCCTTGAAAGGGGTCTCCCGGATCCACGGGATATACATCAATGCGTCGGGACGACAATTCTCAAAGTCGTCCTCGTCCCAGTTCGTGTTAGAGAAATCAATGTCTACCACATCCAGCTTCTTCTAGATGACCTATTCCAGGACACACTCCACCAATTCAAGTGTTCCTCGGGACGGTCAAATGTTAGGGAAAGCGCACGGTCTTTGCTCGAGGAGTTGTTGTTTGCCTCCTCGTCATCCTTATAGCTTCTCTTGATCCACCTCAGCACGAACTTGAGAAAAGCTCGCCTTCGTTTCCTCGAACAGCTGGTGATGTCTTCGCTTGGCCGTGAGGCGGGCGGGAAATTGCCCGGTCTCGTTAAACTCCAAATTCGTCTAGTCAACTGGGAGGAACCGCCACCTTTTTGAGAGTAAGCGGTGGAGACAGCTTCTTTGGACGGTAAACAGGATTTAATCTCAGACAACAACTCATCTTGCAAAGCAGATAGCCTATCTGTGCTAATGCCCATGATGGCCAAATGATTTTTTTTTTCTCTAAATTGATAAAATGGAAGAGAGTATGAAAGAGTGAGTGGTGAAGAAATTGGATGAAAATGTTGGGAATTTATTAGAACGAAAGGGTGTGAAATTTCTACATACCAAATTTATTTACTTGTTTTATTTTCTGGGTAACAGGCATCACGTACCAAAATTTGAGTATGTGCATTTCAGTTGTTTCGTTTTGGTCAAAACATTCCGGATGAAAAGATGTACTTTTTGGGCAAAATATCGGACAAAACCTAAAAGAAACAAATGGGATTTACATTTTTCTTATTTTTTATGATTTTCCTTTTGGCGAGAGCATGAATGAATCTGGATTGTTTTTATTTTATTTTTGTGCATGACACCACGTATTAATCATGGTTTTTATCCGAATTTAGTCGAAATAAGGCCATATATACGTGAAACGTCGGCCGCCGGGGAAATTTATCCTTTTGATACATTAGAATTTAGTGATGGGAATTAAACATTAGCCTAATTGATACAAGAAGAAAAATACTATCTGCTGCTCTTAATTAGCACGTCAAAATCTTTCATCATTTGTATGTAAGTTGAATCACTTTTTATCTACCGCTAATATATGTTATACGTCTGAATAATTCAATACGTAAGTCCCCTGATTCTCAAGAAAAATTTATGTAAATCACTATTTTAAGTTTATTATCCAATCTTCGAGTCAAGTAGTAAAAAGAAATAAACTAGTTTAACATCTGTGCATAAACACATAATACAAACTGTGATTTAATTTGTTTCGTTTTGGTCATAACTTTGTACTCCAAAATCGAACCAAAAATATGTATATTTTGGGCAAAATACCGGACGAAAAGCGAAAGAAGACAAATGTATTTATGTTTTTCTTCTTTTTTACAATTTCTTTGGCAAAAGCGCGGAATCTGGACCTTTTACTTTTTTTGCACGGCAGTATGTATTAGAGAGAACCTTCGAAATTGTAACTTAATTACTTTAATTAATAATCAAGACTTTTTTAATCTAAATTTCATAGAAAAAATTACTCCCTCCGTCGCATAATTATTGTCCAGTTTGAGTTTTTATTTCTAGTTCAAATTATACTAAAAATGAAATATGAAACTGGACAATAATTTTGGGACAGAGGAAGTACCATAAAATTGATGTATACAACTATACGGTGCACGCGGAAATATGCATTCACTGCCGAGTTAAATTGCTAATAATAACGAATATCTGATAAATTTAAATAGTAAGTAATAAAAATAATGTTCGTCACTTGCGGTCTGAGGAGATAGATCTTTTCGTCAAATTTCGGACTAAATGCCCGGCGGAATTGCGGAGTTCTTTATTATTCTTTCTATCCTAAAATTATTGTCCAGTTTAAGATTTTATTTTTTGTATAATTTAAACTAGAAACGAAAACCTAAATTGGACAATCATTATGGAACGGAGGGAGTGTATTTTTTTTTTAGTTAAAGAAATCTTAATTTTAGTTTTCTGTAAATTTTTTATAAAAAAACTCGTGCAATATCCGTATTGCAGGATAGTACGAATTACGCAGAATAACGCAGCCAGTATCCTTTTGAATTTATCGATTGACATTACTTTTGAGTGAGTATAAATCTTAGTTCATAGTAAACCCTAGGTGCACGGTTTAACCCAGCTCATTAATTTACAGGCAAGACTAACTAATTAAACTCCATTGGTCACAGCAAGAGATAGCTTTCAGTTTTCTCATTAAAAAATAAATAAATAAAAAGAAGAAAGGATTCACTAAGGATTACATTTGCATCTATTCTGTTGCAAAATTAACTTCGTAAGTGGAACTTTTAGGAGTCCAGATATTGAAATTAAGTTACCATTTCATTAAATTGTTATCAATGAAATTAAGTAATGTAACCAATAAGATGATATTGATGTTGTTGTTTTTGAGTCAGGAATTGAAAGCAAGTTCCTGGCATGAAGGAAAAGACCGGTAGACCCCTTGAAAATCAAGACACTTCCAATCCTACTTCTATTGTCGATGGCAACACTAATTCCTCAGCAGATCCTGCACCACCTGTGGCAGATAATTTCATAGTATAACGTCTATTTGTGTTTTTTATTATTGTTGAGATTCATAAATGAATAATACCGGTATAGCCTAACGTTACTGAATTTCAGTCATCGAATCATGATACATATCAAGTATATTAGAAACCTATAATTATATATTCAATAGAATAAAATAATTAGAGTGCAAAGTGTTTAGTTAATTTATATAATTGTCGTGCAAAATCGGGGAAGTCCTCTTTCCCTATCCTTCCTTATCTTGCCCTATATTCTTTTTCTTGTTCTTGAAAATGAAGATTTGACCCCATTAGCCTCAATTAAAAATAAATGTTCCGTTGAGTTGCCACAAAATTAATTTCAAGAATTTCAAGTGTTTCGTGTATGCTCCAAAATGGGTGCAATTTTTTTTTTTTCAAATTCACTAACTATTTGAAAATATAGAATTCAAAATTCTCAAATTGTGATGAATGAATGAATGACCGGGACCACCCATGATGGAAGCGATTAGTAATGGTCACGATTTGACTCCCTTCTCTTCATTGCTTGGGTGCATTACTCATGGCTGTCACGACATCTGCACGCCTTTTTCCCGTCGAGATGGTGGAGAAATACACTTCTTTTTTTTTTTCGGATTTTCGAAAGAAATATGATGCATAGTGGTTTATGCGTTCCATTCTTCCCATTTCAAGCATTAGATTTTGAAACTTCTGCGAAGAAATTAACACCCAATTTTTAGTCCTTCTGTATGTGAGCGTAATTAAGACTGCAAGTATTAGTATAAGCAGGTTTGTACAGACACAAATAATTCAGTTTTTTATCAATCAATTTTACAGTTTTCTTCCAGAAATATATTCTATAACCAACTCTGCTTTACGGCTGCTTCTCATTAAAGCTTCTTTCATGGCGGATCTTAGGTTTTTCATTGCCGAATAATAAAACTACCCTAAATTATAATTAGAAGTTCGATTCACAGAAAGAAAGTTAGTCAAGAAATACAGGTCACAAAGGTCCAGAAAAAAATATCAGAGGAAGTTTATAATTGATTAATGTATAAACCGTGTTATGCACAGCGCCTTTTATTCTTTCGTAGATTTTTATTCCCATGGTATTCAAAGTTCAATTTTGCCATTGAAAGCCAAGTGTTTCCTGTTAGCCTAGCTAGCTTTCACATGAACGAACAACGCCACCCAAATCAGTTTCATCACTACCATATACACACATCATTTCTTTTTTGTTTTTTGTTTTTCTTTTTTTTTTTTTTGTAAACAAGTTAAGGAAACTTTTGGTTTTATATATTCACCATTTCATTCTCTACAACCAACAAAAATAATCATGATAACAAAATATTTGAGAATACCATTGGACATTGAATGATTCACGATGTTTGCACGGTTTTCGCCGGTATAGATGATGAGAAATTCATTCACTTTGGACTTAAGAAACAAAGCTTGGATTTAGACCTACCTAATCTAGAGATGAAAATTATTTTTGGATCATTTACTAAACGATGATAGTATCTTATATAATAATAATAATAAAAGCCCTGTTTTGTTAATCTTTCTTTTTTTCCGGATTTTCGAAACAAATTAATGTCATGTATGTTCATCCATATGGTGTTAATTCGACGCATTTCAATAATTCGACTATGTCTTCTTTTTTGACGAGTCCATATTTACCAAGGATTACCGTACCGGCCTATCCGCCAGTTAGGGCCTAACCGACCTTACAGAGATGGTTTGTGAATAAGAACCCTAGTAGGATTCAGCTCCCCTCAAGGTAATTCCATGCCTATAAATAGGGTTGATCTTACCACAATAGAGGTACGCTATCTTTAGCTCCAATAATCACATACACCTTTCTTGATAACTCTATTTTCTGACTTAAGCATTGGAATGTCTACCCTCGTTAGACCCCCGAGGCTCTATTTTGC